GCCATCTCACTAATCGCCAAAGGGTTGAAACAGGAACGCACACAACAGAGCACCACAGACAAACCACTTAACTCAGACTGACGCCAGCTCACTAACAGTCGCAGGAGACCCCCAGCTAACACCACCTAGCAGCACAACTCGTAACTACAAAGCATGCACGCACAACAGGTCGTTTCCGGTTATTTTTGGATCCCCCCTCATACAACTGCTGATCATTACATTTGGTTCAGCATCATATTCAACAACAGGACAGAAGTATGTTCTGGGTTATAAACAGATTATAATGTTTTTCAATCACCTGGTGAGGTGGCAGTTTAAATGCTTATATGATTGTGGGTGGAACAGTTTGCAAGCACAGAAAGCCTTTCACGGACACTACTGTTCTGCCAAATACAAAGAGTGCTATAAGATTAACCCCTTGTTTCCAGATATTCTTCTTTGAAAACATAAAAGAGTAAGGTCTCTGATAGAAATTGATATTCAAATGTAAAAATGAATTTATGTACAAAGTTGAAATAGTACTTTGATATCCAAATACTGACAGGTGGAGGAATATTTAATTATTGGAAATATGGCTACCAGAACTTATTTTACCATAAATCATACCCTCAATGCACATGCTTGACTACAACTGTTCTGTAATACAGCATACCATTATGAGAGGTTTATGTGAAAACTATTTACCTGCTTTATCTACATGTTCATAATTCATATGAGATGTAATACTGGAGGTATGTACATACAGAATGTTTCATAAATAAGTACCTGAACTCTGCATGTTTTTATCTAAGATTACAAACAGTTCAGAATAATTATATGGATATAAATCTGCAAAGGCATTGTTACTAAGATAAGGAGAGTTAAGGTCAGATAGTATGCTCATGGTGAATAACAGATGTTTATTTTTTATTCACAACTCCAGTTGGTGATTTTTATGGGGTGGGGGGTGAGACAAAAGAAAAGAGTATTGAGGATCTGGCAGAGACACATTGATTCTTGGTGCATGTAGCTGAAGCTTACATTACATTAACAAGTCAGAGTTCCAGCATCTGTCTTAAGTGCATCTACCCTCTTTAAGTGTATGTATGTAAATAAGCCATATTGCAGAATAAATAACTTTTTCGTACTTCACCTCTCTTTAGATCACAGTATGGTGTTTAGATTATAAAAGCTCTAACGAAGCATTGAAACATGCATAAATGGATCGATTAAAAATTAATTTATATAATGAAAATGATGAATAATTAATGCTAGACATTATATTTAAAGTAAACACATTGCAAAGTAAAAAATGTGGTGCTTAATCTTTGTTGAAAGTAGTGTTAGCTTTTGCATTAGAACATTTCTCTAGTGATACTGGAACATCCATAAAATCAACAATAAAAATCAAAGGAAGCGTCAGTTAGTGTTAAAAATATTGAAGAGTTAATGTTATTCATTTTATGCATTAAATGAACTATAAAAACCAAGAAACATTAGAACTATTTGGAATTTGTGCTCTTATTTTCAAACATGCTGTATATGGGAGGAAACTGCATAAAAATGCTAACAACATATATGCTTCAGAATTCAGATGTTAATAGTCTTCACATAAGTACTCTCAACAATCCAACTACAAATTCTCTTCTTGTCTACTCTACAACAATAAGGACTAATCCTGTCACTAATGTAGCACAAGTTATGCTGACTTCTCAAGTGGCGATTATTATATATTCATAACAGGTGCTTTAACCCACAGAGAGGGAAAGCAATTGTCATTTGTTTATTTTATGAAGCTTTCAATTGCTCAGTATAATATAATGATTAATGAATACCGTATTGGAAAGGATGTGGAAGGAAGAGGTAATGGCTTCATTTTGGGTATTGCCCTAATATTTATCTGGAAAGGACTGAGGAAAACAAAAATATCAGTTGGTATAGCTGGCCTTGGGGCCAAAATTGGAACCCACTACTTCTTAAATATGAAGCAGGAGTGCTGGCCACTTGACTTTGTTACTTAATGCAAATAGTGGAGCAATTTCAAGTGAGTGGTTATGTTAACAAGCAGATATCAATGATATGACACATGCTTTCAGAATTAGTAGGATGATGATGAAAAAATAATGTTCACATGTTGTTTAAATTTAGTTCACTTAGTAGAATCAAAAAAAATTCTTAACTATAGACACATCATGGGCACATCATAGTCACAATACCTTCAAATTTAATTTGCATGTCAATATATGGAAATTGAAGTGGAAAGAGTTTCAAAATTAGAACTACCAAAAGAATGTCACAACATCCTATTAAATTTCCTTTGTTATAGTTTAAATATATCCCATAGTGTCTTTAAACTGCAGTTTCTAATTCCTGCAGTTACCTGCATACAAGTGGAGTGGATGAATATAATGAAACCAATATATGATACAAGAATACTATTAAATAAAGATCTCAATAAAATCAGTTATATATGAGGATCACTATAAAAGATGTATAATTTGGTTTTCAGAGCATGTGGATCTGGATTCAGAAATACACAGTACAACTTCCTGCCATTGGAAAAGTAACAATTAAGATCTCAGTTATCATCATGTTGCAGGCAGTGAAAAGTCATACATATCATACTGTGTTGCAATGAACCAGATTTAAATGTCATGTAGTGCGAAACAGAACATATTTTCTTGAAATTATTCAGCATGGCTTCAGAAATGGATTAAATAAGAGCTAGTCTGTCTCATTTATTCATTTATGTGTCAAAGTTTTCCAAAAATTCTCTCTCTACTATCGAGACAGAATTTTCAGGATATTATCCTTCAGGTGTCAAAGTTCTCTACAATTTTCAGAATTGAAAAGGGAAAACCTTCTCTGAAGAATGAAAATAGAACAGACAAATAACCACAGGTGTGTGTGAAGAAAATATTTCTTATGTTAGAACTGCAATTAGACAATGAAACCTCAAGGCAACACCTTACTTAGATTTCCAAGTACTTTGGCCACCTTCCTAAGTTCCATATGAGTTTGGTGTGTAGTCAGTGAGTGTCTCACAGAAGACGAAATGCAGATAGAAAGGCAATGATCATATGAAATATTGAAATAATTTGAGAATGGTGACTGTTACCACTTTTCTGACATTGTTACTGTCACAAGACACTAGACTGCCAATTTGATCTGGAAATAAAATATGACAATCATCAGGGCAATCCTTGTTGACAGTACTCCTGCTGTGAAAGTAAAGTAATGGTATACAAAAATCTGCCTAAATGACTCAAGAAGGGAGGCAGCCCAAAACACTCCTGTTGTTCCATGACAAAGATTCTTCATACACAGTAATCCTGTGTCACCTTCTTCCATAGCGCTCGAATCAAGCTATTCACACATCTAACATATGGATCAGATCTGGCATGATAAGATTTCTTGTTCTTCTGAACAATGAAATTTTACCTCAAAGTAATAAATTCTTAAGCTCTGAAAAAGTGGTGCTATTGCTTCATAGTTGCCTCAGGAGTATGGAATACAGCATAGAATGTTAGGACAATTATGAGTACGATGAAAATATGTAACAGTTGAAATATAGATATTTTTTTGGATTACTCCTGTCTCAGACCTTGAACCCTTGGTAATTCAGACTAATCAGGGTGAAGGTCATATGGATTATTTGATAATCCAGATGAATGAAGCAAATGATAGCCCTTCATAATCATCATCAGTAATCTGTCAGACGACAGGTCCACAGTCTCTTCCAAAACAATTCCTCCACTTAATGCGATCTAGAGCTTTCTCCTTCAAATGACAGTATCCTCTTCTGACCCCAAGGTCATCCAGCATCTTCTTACGTCTTCTTCCTCGTCTTCTTGTCACTTCTATCCACCCCTCTATC